GTACACCACATCAGCCGTGTGCAACACAGCACCAGTGTACACCACAATGCCTGCGTGCATCGCAGTGCCTGTGTGCACCACGGCGCTTGTGTGCACCACAGCAACCGTGTGCAACACAACACCACTGCTGGGTATAGCATATTAGAGCAAATCCGCGTATGACAAACTGGAGCGGTTGTGGATTCCACAGAAAACAATATACATTAATCCTTATGGACAACGGAGCGCCGCTGGAATCTACGAGTCCTCCCGAGTCCGCCCGCATCACCCTAACTCCCACCATCTGCGTCCAGGAGGCTGCAGGTAAATTGGCCGTCCGAGAATTAAGTGGACCGATTCAATAGACCATTCTGCGGTGCGCGCTGAGATGCGCACGTGCGCTGTAGCGCCAACCCGCACGACAGGGGGTAAGGAGGAGGAGGAGGAGGAGGAGGAGAAGGTGGTGGAGGTGGAAGAGGAGGAAGGAGGGAAAAACGTCGCATTTGATTATCAGCACTTTACTGGCGTGGCGCCTAGTCGTCCGCAGCAGATCCTCATGTACATGCTCGTTTTACGTGCCCACTGCACGCAGCTGTTGCGGTGTACACCAGCGCTGCGTTGCACGCGGATGTTGTGGTGTAGACACGCGCTGTGGCGTGCACAGGCGCTGCGGTGCACGCAAGCACTGTGGTGTACACAGGCGGTGTGTTGCACATGGTAGCTGCGGTGTACACGTGTACACCGGCGCTGCAGTGTACGCAATCGTTGTGGTGGACAGGCGCTGCGTTGCACACGGTTGTTGCGGTGTACGCAAGCGCTGTGGTATACCCGCAGGCGCGTTGTGTTGGACGCGAGCGTTGTGGCGTAAACAGGCGTAGTGGGGCATATCAGAACCTACATGCTGCTCGCGTCGTCGTCGTCGTCGTCGTTTCTCGTCGCTCGTCGCTCGTCGCTTCGCGCGCGCGGGCGCGGCTGCGGTGCTGGAGCCACACATCGGGGGGGCTTTACGTCATACCCCCCGTCGCCCCCATCCCCCCCCATGACGCCCGTCATCGCCGAACATAAAGAAACGCTGTCAGACGTGAGCCGGCCACCGCGAGCCGACGAGAAGGAACGGGCAGGGAAGGAGGAGGGAGAGAGAGGTGGGAGAGGGAGGGAGAGAGGAGGGGTGAAGCGGAGGAACATGCGAGGCCCATTTCCCTCTCCTGGGTCCAAGAGCCGCTACCGCCCCCAAACCACACACACAAACAAGCATACACGCACACGCGCACGCCCACGCACACGCACACACACGCACACGCACAAGCACTCACGCACTCACGCACTGACGCACTCACGCACTCACTCACGCACTCACGCACTCACGCACACGCACACACGTTACGTCGCATTTTCTGGGAACCTCGTCTGTCCCACAAATCGGTGTGTTCTCTTGTGCCTGGTGCGGGTTCGATGCGGACTCACCGCGAATTTGGCGTGGATTCGGCGTGGACCCGACGCGGATACATCGCCGCTCCGAAAGTTCTTTGAATTTTCTGAGTTGGGCCCGATGGCAGTGGCAACGGCCCCGACGGGGTTGAGGGGCAGGATGCGTTGAATCCCCCTCCCCCCTACAAGCCTAGCAAGATAGCCCTGTTGCGTCGTTTGGGCGGGATCCTAATTAGTCCAGCCAACCATATATCCCACCCATAAAAAAATAGTGTCGGGATGAATCCCGCTGTGGGACACAATTCCGCCAATGTATGACGTGTTCGGGTCGTCTTGAGGTCATCTTGAAATCATATGCAGGTCATCTTCAGATCATGGTGTTGTGCTCTGGAAATGCTCCAGCCACCTCGGGGTTCGCTCTGGGGCTTCCGCGCAGGGTCACCAGGCCATATTGGGCCATCTTGGATTCGCCCCTGGGCGATTTTTGACGCTGCGTCTGGATCCTGCATGGACCACGGGGTCTTCTTGGGGTCGCCCCGAGGTCATCCTCGTGCCCGTCTGAGGACGTCGTGGAAAACATCTTTGGGCCATGGGGCCGCCCAGGCATCCTGTCTGGGTCGCGTGGAGGTCTTTCGCGTTTCCAAGGATTTAAGCCTGATCGCTCCTGCCGCAGTCCGTATCGTTTCGGCTCAAGGTTGGGTTGCAGATGATTCGGAGGCAATGCATATGGGAAGTTACCTTTCGATGCCTTTTGCGATCGACTTGGCGAAGCGTGCCTTGGTGGGTTTTCTTCCGGTTCTGGCCGCCTCGTGCGACGTCTCGCTGAGCTTGAAGAGGGATGCGACGGACGTGGAGGTCAGCAGCGCATACGGGAAGGCTTCCAGGAGAGTCCACCCTGACCGCGTTGGCAAGACGGAGGAAACGCCCACGACGCCAGGGAGGCGGCGAAACGGGTTAGGAAGCCGCGAGGCACGCACGAGAGGAAGATGCAGACACTTGGTGAAATTCCTGAGCCTCTTGTGAGACGGTGCCTCTTGGGGAAGCAGACGGTTGCTAGCTTTCGGTTCCAATCAGTGGGCGTGCTGTTGACGTGCCAAAAGTTCCCGGACCGCACCTGCTGGAAGCGGTTCGTGATCTTCGCCAGGACCCAGCTGGCCGATTGGCAGGCTCGCTTTTGGTGCGCTACGCTCGAGACCAACCAAGACGGAACGCACCACCTCCACGGCGGCGGCTGCTCTGCGACGACGAGCTTCATGGTTGGCAAGGAGTGCGAGAGGGTGCGCAGGAATAGTAATGTCCAGCTGCTGAACGTCGCACCGAGGTCGCCCGACTTGAACCCGATGCGCCGGCGGGATCTCGAGGGCCCGCGGAACAAGCGGCCCGCCCTGGGGGGGGGCGCGTGGATGTGCAGGCTGAAGCGGCTGTTGAAAACGCGGAAGGCGCAGACCGTAGCCAAACTTAAAGACCGCAAGAAGGCGCGCAAGGTCGCGTGCGCGTGCAAGACGAATGGGGCGCACCCAGGCTTCTGAGGTGCAGCTGAATTGTCCCTGCTGTCGATTTGCTGTCGCCTTGCTGTCGCCTTGCGAGTAAGAAAAACTACGCGCCTGATCGCGCCTGCCGCACTCCGCATCGTGTCGGCTCGCGGTTGATTGATTCGCAGAGATTGCGGGGGCAACGCATCTGGGAAATTACCTCGCGATGCCTTCTTCAATCGACTTGGCGATGCGCGCCGCGACGGGTCTCCTTCGGGTTCTGGCCGCCTCGTGCGGCGCCCCGCTGAGCTTGGAGAGGGGTGCGGCGGGGGCGCGGCGTCAGCGGCGCATGCCGGAAGGCGCCCAGGAGAGCCCACCCTGGCCGCGATGGCAAGACGGAGGGCCAGGCCGCCCTGAACGACGCCCACGACGCCAGGGAGGCGGCGAAACGGGCGAGGAAGCCGGGTGCTACGCGCGAGAGGAATCTGCAGAAACTTGATGGAGCTCCTGAGCCTCTGGTGAGACGGCGCCTCTTGGGGAAGCAGACGGTCGCTAGCTCTAGGTTCCAATCAGTGGGCGTGCCGTTGACGTGTCAGAAGGTCCAGAGTGCACCTGTTGGAAGATGTTCGTGAACTTCCCCGGGCCCAGCTGGCCGATTGGCAGGCTCGCCTTTGGGGCGCTACCCTCGAGGCCGACCGAGGCGGATCGCGCCGCCTCCACGGCGGCGGCTGCTCTGCGAGGACGAGAGCTCCATGGCCGGCAAGGAGTGCACGAAGGAGCGCGGGAAGAGGAATGTCCAGCTGCTGGACATCCCACCGAGACCACCCGATTTGAAGCCGATTGAAGCCTTTTGGGGCTGGCTGCGCCAGGCGATGCGCCGGTTGGATCTCGAGCGCCTGAGGAACGAGCGGCCCGCGCTGCGGAAGACCGCGTGGATGTGCAGGCTGAAGCGGCTGTTGAAAACGCAGAAGGCGCAGGCTGTAGCCGGAAATAAGTTCCAGATCTTCAAGAAGGCGTGCAAGGTCGCGTGCAAGAAGACTGGGGCGCATTCGGGCTTCTGAGGTGCAACTGAATTGTCCCAGCTGTCGCCTTGCTGTCGCCTTGCGAGTAAAAACTACGCATCGACGGCATTGCGCGCTCGCCTACGTCGCACCCCCCATGGCAACGGCCTCGACGGGGCCGAGGGGCAGGATACGTTGACCCTCCCCCCCTAGAAGCCAAGCAGGATAGTTAGCCGGCTCTTTGCGCTGTGTCGGCGGGGTCCTTGACGACTAGTTCCCCCTTTTTGATTACATAGGTTTAGTCCAGCCAACCATAAATCCCACCCGCCCGCCAAGGTATGACGTGTTCGGGTCGTCTTGAGGTCATTTTGCAACCATTTCCAGGCCAACCTTCAGATCGTGGCGATGTGCTCTGGGGATGTTCCGGCCACCTCGGGGTCGCTCTGGGGCCACCGCGCCTGGTCTCTAGGGCATCGCTCACATCTTGGGTCATCTTGGATTCGCCTTCGTGCAATTTCGACTCTGCGTCTGGATCATGCAGGGGCCACGGTGTCTGCTTGGGGTCGCCCCGATATCATCTTCGCGCCCGTCGGAGGCCGTCGTGGAACCATATTGGGGCCGCGGGGCCGCCCATGCATCCTGTCTGGGTCGCGTGGAGGCGATCCGCGTTTCCAAGGGATCTTTCGTCGCGCCTAAGCAGGGGCGCGACGGGGCAGTCCAGGCCCCCCGAAGATGCACCGCATCACATGCGCACCCGAGAGCACGACCCGAAAATTAAAGTGTAGTCAGCCAGGTCGTTATAGCCTGGCCCGGCCCGCAGGAAGCATTTTGCAAGATAGTGAGAAGAGATAAGGCGTATTGGAGGGGGAATGCTACGACGATTGCGCCGACGACGCGACGACGAGGACGAGGAGGAGGAGGAGGAGGACGAACAGTATGAGGAGGAGGACGAGGAACAGGACGTGGGGAAGGAAAACGCTGTGCCGCAGCAGATCCCTATATTTGTTTGCGCGATCAACCGTAACAGACCCTCATAGGGATCTGCTATCCGAGCTGTCTCTGGCTATTCCTAAGCATTCCTAGAAATCGCTAGCCCGAAACGTGACGCTACCTGGGGGGGGGGGAACGCGGGGCCGGTCACGACCGCTATACATGACCTTGAGCTCTTATTCTCCCTTCCATGGCCGTTTGTGTTCAATCTTGTCGAGGTGCGTTTTTCGTCTTTTCACATTGCACCTGGAAGCTTATTGCCACACTTCTTGGCCATCGTCGGCTCAGCAATGGTGCGTGTGCTGCTTTGTTCGGCGACATCGGCGCTTGCTTACACGATGGGCGCGGACCTGCGGTTCATGCAGATGTCAGTGCATGGGTCGGGCGGTTCAGAGGCGGCAAATCTACGGACTGGAAAATTCAACGTAATTTTAATAATTACAAAGCCCGCAGAGCAGGAGTCACTGCGGACTCTAGGAACAATCAAGCAGGAGGGGGAGGCAACGGAACTCAATCCAGCTGGCCGTGCACAGCCTTCAGTTGCGCCGAAAGATGGAGGAGGAGGAGGAGGAGCGGGGAGGAGGAAGGAGGAGAGGAGCAGGGCGGAGGGGGAGGAAATAAGGAGGAGGAGGAGGAGGAGGAGGAGGAGGAGGAGGAGGAGGAGGAGGAGGAGGAGAGGGGGAGGGGGAGGGGGAGGGGGAGGGGGAGGGGAGGGGGAGGGGAGGAGGAGGAGGAGGCACCGGAGCTCTCGACTCATTCGTTTTTTTTCCCCGGAAAGGGCTCGAGCCCAGGGTTCTCTTTTAGATGGTCTTCCCCCCGGTTTTTACTTGAAAGGGGCCGGCGGAATTCTTGTGCGATAAATTACGAGGTCGAAGGGGGCCGGCGGATTTCAATTGTGAGGACGAAGGCCATTTTTCGCCACCCCTCACGCAGATCGTGCTCTTGGAATTTTACTGCCTTTAAGGACACCTCGATATTTCACAGGTGAAGTCCACTTTTTTCCGACATCGACTTTAAACGATAAAAAACAAGGTAAACGCGTTCGCTCGATAAATAACGAGGTACCGCGGCCTCCGGAACGGCGCTGGGAACAGAGTGTGGGATTCTTGAAGTTGCATAAGTTCGGAAATAGCAGAAAATCCTCTGTGTTTTTTTTACCCTGACCCCGCCGATCTGCGTGAGGTGTGGCACGGAATACCAGAAATGTGTCAAATCCCCAGTGTTTTTGGACCCTGACCCCGCCGATCTGCGTGAGGGGTGGCGCGGAATTCCAGAAATGTGGCAAATCCCTTGTGTTTTTGGACCCTGACCCCGCCGATCTGCGTGAGGGGTGGCACGGAATTGCGTGAGAGGTGGCACGGAATTCCAGAAATGTGGCAAATCCCCTGTGTTTTCGGATCCTGACCCCGCCGACCTGCGTGAGGGGTGGCACCGAATTTCAGAAATGTGGCAAGTCCCATGTGTTTTCGGACCTTGACTTCGCCCAGGAGGGCCCAGGAGGCTCCAGGAGAGCCCAGGAGAGCCCAGGAGGGCCCAGGAGAGCCCAGGAGGGCCCAGGAGGGCCCAGGAGGCTCCAAGAGGCACCAGGGGGCCCAAGGAGGGCCCAGGAGAAGCTCCAGGAGGCTCCAGGAGAGCCCAGGAGGGCCCAAGAGGTCCAAGGAAGACAAAGGAGGGCCCAGGAGCCCTTACGAGGGATCGTGGCCCTGGGAGCGCTGACGTAGAGTAATTTACGAGGGATCGTGGCCCTGGGAGCGCGGGTGTAGTGTAATTCATAATTTGTTGAGGATGTCTCTGGCGAAACGCTGGTTTTGCAAAATTTGGGGATGTCTCGAGCGGGGGCTTCGTGGGAGGCCAGAATTCAGAGGATGTCTCAGGCGAAATGCTTGTTTTCGTGTCCCGCGCGCAGGAATTCCAAGGATGTCGAGGAAATCGAGGGTTGAACAAATTGTAGCGTCGTAGATCTGGGAACTAATTTCGTTCGTTTGCCAGGATGTTAATTGATTTTGGCAGGATGTCTCGAGCGAAAAACGCTTGTTTTTCATAATTGTGAGGAATGTCTCGTCCTGCGCGAAAACGCTGGTTTCTGCAAACTTGGGGATGTCTCGAGCGGGGGCCTCGTTGGGGGCCAGAATTCAGAGGATGTCTCAGGCGAAATGCTTGTTTTCACGTCCCGCTCGCAGGAATTCGGAAGATGTCTCGCGCGTGCCACGTCCCGCGCGCAGGACTTTTGAGGATGTCCCGTAGCGCGTCCCCTTGGCACGGCCTACGGTGCGACCCCATGGCACGTCCCTTGGCACGTCGCCTGGCGCGTCCCTGGGGACGTTTCGCGGCGCGTCCTCCTGGCATGTCCCCCTGTCAATTAGCTCTGGGGCAGCTACTATGCGTTCAGGCAGCTCGAGCTTAAGATCCAGATCAGTTCGGTCAGGACTCGGATGCAAAGGAAGACTCGATCCACGACGCTATAGAGCACAACCGCGGCATGGCACATCGCAATTCAGCACGGTGCAGCACAGCACAGCCCTCGGCACGGTACACCAAGATCGATACAATCAGCATTGCACTTGCCCGTCACCCAATCAGGTGTCTTGAAAAACGTTGCCATGGGGTACAGTTCTAATTACTTTCGGTTCGGGCGTGGATTCATTTTGTTTTTTTTACCGGAAAGGGCGGGGGCCCAGGGTTCTCTTTTAGTTGGTAATCCTAATCCCCCGGTGCCAACTTGAAGGAGGCCGGCGGATTTTTTCCCTGATAAATATCGAGGTCGAAGGAGGCCGGCGGATTAAAATTTGAGGATGTATCGAGCGAAACGCTTGTTTTTGAAATCCCGATCGATAAATCACAGGGTGCGGGCCACTTTTTCGTGTGTTGAGGATGTCTCGAGCGAAACGCTTGCTCCGCAGAGTTTGCCGAGGATGTCTCGAGCGAAACGCTTGTTTTGCAGAGCCGACCGCGACGCGGAAAAGCGCCCCGCGCGAAGGAATTTCGATGATGTCTCGACTAATTCCTGTGTTTTTGTACGATTTCCTGGAAAATTTGGAAAATTGTGTTTTTGGGGGGGGCCCAGGAGTCTAGAGCGAAATGCCGACCCACCCTTAGCACGACCATACCCCAGCACGACCACACCCAGAAGACCAGACCCCAAGCACGGACCCCCACCCCAGACACGACCCCACACCAGCACGACCATACCCCCAGCACGACCACACCCCAGCACGACCACGCCCCAGCACGACCACACCCCAGCACGACCACACCCCAGCACGACCACAACCCAGCACGACCTCACCACAGCACGACCACGCCCCAGCACGACCACGCCCCAGCACGACCACGCCCCAGCACGACCACGCCCCAGCACGACCACCCCCCAGCACGACCACCCCCCCAGCACGACCACCCCCCAGCACGACCACACCCCAGCACGACCACACCCCAGCACGACCACTCCCAAGCACGACCACACCCCAGCACGACCACACCCCAGCACGACCACACCCAGTCGCACCCCCGTGGAATGTTTCGTGGCGTGTCTGGTTGAGTGGTTGCCTGTTCGTGGGGTGTCTCGTGGAATGTTTCAAAGGGTGTCTCGTGGAATGTTTCGTGAGGTGTCTCGTGGAATGTTTCGTGAGGTGTCTCGTGGATGTTTCGCGGGGTGTCTCGTGGGATGTTTCGTGAGATGTCGCCCAGTTGGGTATCGTGAAAACGTGACCATGCTGCACATGTCTTTATCCCTTTCCGGGTTCGTGGGTCCATCATGTTGTTTTTTCCCGGAAAGGGCGCCGGCCAGGGTTCTCTTTTAGTAGGTAAACCTGTCCCCCGGTGCCAACTTGAAGGAGGCCGGACGGACTTTTTTTCCCTGATAAATATCGAGGCGAGGAGGCCGGCGGATTAAAATTTGAGGATGTCCGAGCGAAACGCTTGTTTTTCAGAATTTGGAGAGGATGTCTCGAGCGAAACGCTGGTTTTGCAGAGTTGGGGATGTCTCGAGCGAAACGCGTGGTTTCAGAATTTGTTGAGGATGTCTCGAGCGAAACGCTGGTTTTGCAGAGCCGACCGCGACACGGAAAAGCGCTCCTCGCGCAGGAATTCCGAGGATGTCTCGACTAATTCGTTTGTTTTTGTGATTTCCTGGAATTTTGGCAGGATGTCTCGAGCGAAATGCACGACCCCACCCTAGCACGACCATACCCCAGCACGACCACACCCCAGCACGACCACACCCCAGCACGACCCCACCCCAGCACGACACCACCCCAGCACGACCATACCCCAGCACGACCACACCCCAGCACGACCCGACCCCAGCACGACCCTACCCCAGCAAGACCACACCCCAGCACGACCACACCCCAGCACGACCTCACAACAGCACGACCACACCCCAGCACGACCACGCCCCAGCACGACCACGCCCCAGCACGACCACGCCCCAGCACGACCACCCCCCAGCACGACCCCCCCCAGCACGACCACCCCCCAGCACGACCACCCCCCAGCACGACCACACCCCAGCACGACCACTCCCCAGCACGACCACACCCCAGCACGACCACACCCCAGCACGACCACACCCAGTCGCACCCCCGTGGAATGTTTCGTGGCGTGTCGGGTTGAGTGGTTGCCTGTTCGTGGGGTGTCTCGTGGACTGTTTCACGGGGTGTCGCGTGGAATGTTTCGTGAGGTGTCTCGTGGAATGTTTCGTGAGGTGTCTCGTGGGATGTTTCGCGGGGTGTCTCGTGGGATGTTTCGTGGGATGTCGCCCAGTTGGGTATCGTGAAAACGTGACCATGCTGCACATGTCTTTATCCCTTTCCGGGTTCGTGGGTCCATCATGTTTTGTTGTTGTGTTTCGTTGTATTTGCAATGGGCCCGTTCGGTTTTGTTCCGCAGACAGTTTGCTGAACGGCGTGCTGTCTTGGTAGAACCTTGTTCTGGTCGACGGACGGGCGAGCAGAGAGCCTCAAGAGAATTTGGTGGTCCGGGCCATTTCGCCTGAGGCATCCTCACATCTCCCGCTTCTGAGTTGGCCAGGATCGGGCGTTTCGCCTGCGACGTCCTCGCAGTTCGGAGCTCCGAGGCGCCACGCGCAAGGTGGTCCGGGGCGTTTTGCCCGAGACATGCCGCGCGCGATGTGGTCCAGCGCGTTTCGCCAGAGACATTTGACATCCTGGCAATTCTGAGCTTCGGGATGCTGCGCGAGAGATGGTCCTGTCCGTGTCGCTTGAGACACTCTTGCATCTCTGAGCTCCGAGCTGCCGCGCGAGAGGTGGTCTGGCGCGTTCCCGCTGAGACATCCTCGCATTTCTGCGCTCCGAGCTCCCGCGCCAGAGATGGTCTGGCAGGTTTCGGTTGAGACTACTTCCTCGCGCCCCTGATCTCCGAGATGCCGCGCGAGAGGTGGGTCGGCGCGTTTTGCCTGACATATCCTCGCAACTCTGGGCTCCGAGCTGCCGCGCGCGAAGTGTTCCGGCGCGTTTCGCCAGAAACATCCTCTCGAGTCGAAGTTTCGAGTTGCCGCGCGCGAGGTGCCCCAACCCGTTTCGT